CTTTTTTAGTAAGTGTGTGCGTTTGAAAAGTTCACCGGTACCTCTGCCTTCCACCTGACACTCCTTGTTCCTGTCTTCTGAAATCGAGGACTTTGTAATCTTCACAAACTCATTTAGGGGGCAGTCGAGGGAGCAGCCTGGTAGCTGCAGAGGGTACGGCTCCACTGTGCTGTCATTCCGGTAAAACAGCGACACCGAAGCAGAGCTGGATGGACACAGAAAGAGAGAGAGTCAGTTAAATGTCACATTTAACACTCAGTGTACTGGATTATTTAGAGCCTTATAGTATCATAAAAGCATTATTAACTGAGTTGAATCTGGTCATATAATAAAAGTCTCCATTTGTTATTTAGCAGATCTCTTTCCTTTCTTTCAGGTATGAGCTCCTCAGTATCACATGGAGACTGTGTGTCAGTATAATGTTTGAGTGAGTGTCTACAGTGTGTGTGTGTGTGTGTGTGTGTATGTGTGTGTGATTTACCCGTTTTCATCCTGGTACAGTTCAAATATTTGGCAGGAGGCATACGGCGGCTGTTTTCCATTGAACACATTCATACTGGCCTGGAGAGCAGCTACGGTGGTGTCATGCTGTGAAACAGACACACATACACACATTAAAGGAATACTTTTAGAAGAAGTAATTGTTGTAGTGTGAGTATTGTTAACTAGCTCACCGATGACAGCATCATCAATTTCAGTCTCTGTTTCGGGCCTGGGAGCGGCCATCTTGGAAGATTCTTTACTATTTTCACCCAAAAGGATTCCTGAAACACAGACAGCAGTTTATTATTTCCCCATTTCATCCTGTATTTAAAGCAGAAGTGTGAATGTTGTCTAAGCATTGTATGCATCTTATTCCTCTGTGCCACAGAGCGCCTTTATTGTTCCTTCATTACCACACACAGGTTTATTTTTACACACCGTCCTTCCGCCACAAATACTCGCTGGAGCACCAAATGTGGATTAATCCGCTGCTGAAAATAGTCCCCTGCAAATGCACTATTTCCTCCTGTTTGAGTAACGTTTGTTCCAGTGTCCAGCTGTTTTATTAATTTATTCAGCCTCTCTTTAAGAATGAAATTATATTTGTCTGCAATGATGATTTTGTAAAGCAGTTGGATTTCACTGATCTGCACACATACCTCCCTGCAGCCGGCTCTTTTCTTGCTGTTTGTAGACCCCGAATGTGACCTGTGAGAATCAAACAGAATCACTACATTTAGCACTGAATCCATCACGAGACAATCTGAAGAGACTTCTGAATGTAAGCACAGATGTTGCTACTACTTTTTACCTGAAATCCAAAGTCTTTGAGAACTCGGAGCTTCTCCATAACATCAGGAGTCACCCAGTCAGGAGCTGACATGTTGTGGCGGGACTGAATTCACACACACAGACACACACACACACACACACAGTGGGAATTATGAAAACCATGAAGAAAACCATCTAAATAAGGCATTAATTAAGTACTTTTAAAACTGACAAACTGTCCTCTTGATAGCACTTTGTCAGCAGTCCTCTGCCTGAACCTCTCTCACTGCAACCATCTCTCACATTATTGCTGAATGTCTCTCATTTCATATTTGGCTTACACTTGAAATCTCACACTTTTGTGTGTATTTGTCCGCAGAATAATAAGGACATTATCCCAGAAAATGACAGACACTGACGGCGGAACCTGAGATATGTATTGACTATTGATAATTGTTATATACTGTTTGAAGTTCAAAATAAGGCCAGATTGTGGATGCATTAATGATGTTGAATGATCTAATTTATTTCTTAGTAGTTGTGTTTGTTTGTAATTATACAGATTATTCTTTAATATTCTAATCCACATCCACATCTACCAAGAACCTGCGCAAACCATAACCTACCCACCGACTGAAATAAACTGTTAAACCACAAAGGATGTTCAGTGAGCCAACGCCACCAATGCAATAGCTTTCACAAGGTATGTATGTGTGTGTGTGTGCTCACCTCACAGAAGAGTATGTCGTACACGCTCCAGGCTGAGTCCACATTGGTCTCATTCAGGCCTGTTTTAATCCTCAGCAGCTCTATGGTGTCCTAAAGAGAGGAACACAGTGAGCTCCACATACACACATCTGTAGCCCATCATCCTCAATAATCTTTAAAAATGTACTTCAACTTTTAACACTTTTTAATAGATTTTTTGAATTTTTTGACTAGAAAATATAAGAATTAGGCTTCTGAAATTCAGGGAATCAATGTAATCATAGATTTTATTCTCCTTTTGATGACACTTAACCCCCCAAAATTCCAGTAAATATTGTACATTTGACTTCAGTGTCTTCAGTGGTCGCTATGTCCCTGAACTTGGCACTGTTACACTGTATGTGTATCATTTAGTGGAGAAAAGAAAAGAAGAGTGTACCTGGTATTTGGCCTTGACTTTAAGATATTCCTCTGTATGTTTAGATTCATTCATCAGCTGTTTGTAGCGAGGACAGTCACCCAGAGGATAAGAGAGGAGCTAAAAGAAGAGAAGGAAAGTTCAGACAATGAAGCACTTATATCGAGGAAGGAAACTATTTAAACTTAAAACTATTTAAATCATATAGGTACCCTCTCTTCACTTTGCGGAACGGTGTGCACAGGTATCGGCTGCCACTTTAAGATTGGTTCAAAGATCTGCTGGCCAGTGGGGGGGTAGAGACCTAGATGTTGGCAAGAGCCAGAATAATACAGACTGTTAATGTGAGGAAGGAAACTACTAGAAATAGAAGAATTACTCTTAGAAGAGAAGTAGGAAGGAAGAGGAGTTAGCTGGTGTTCAGACCTGCGAGGTTGGCCTCAGCACTCATCAGGGTGCGATCGTAGTCTGTACTGCGAACT